CAAGACCCCCAGGGCAGTCCAAATGCATGTTATATTGGAGAAGTCCTGCTTCAGAGCCTCAAGCAGCAGAGTTCAAGAGTATTTGTGCTTGCAGTCACTTTGACAGCAAATTATTGGGTTACATATGCATTTGATAGGTTTCTGCAGATATTTTGGTGATGCGCCTTCTTTCTCTGAACTGTTTATTCCCTCTGCTTGTATGGTTTGTGAAAGAGTTGCTAAAAACCGTTTTGGTACTAAGTTAACTAATTCACACAAACCTCTCTATGACTTTGGCTGACAAACGGGGCTGCCTATTTATTCTAAAGCAAAAAAGGTTACTCTCATGGAGTGAAAAGAACCCTACTTTTTAACTTTGCTTTTTGGTCTCAATCCAGTGAGAATGGTTGTGGCATTAAATTTTAATAAAATCAGCAGAACATTTCTTGATGCCAAAATTCTTAAGACAACAGTGTTTTGGTTTAACCCAAAGATAAAGGTAACCGAAAAACAGAAGTGAATATAATACAGTTTCAAAAGAGGAAAAGAAAATGAATGTGTTCCAAAGATTTAGAACCCAAACTTCAGAATTATAGCCACTGTCCTGAAAATTACTTAAGAGTTTGTTTGAACTTAAAGAAACAAATAGAAATACTTGGTACAAGTCCGTCACAGAGATGTTCTCCCATATCTCAGTCTAGAGACCTGATACCCCATTAGGTCATTGGGATGCTGCCTTTTAGTCTTTCTGTTCTGGAAAGACAATACCTCTTCTACAGCTCCTGGACACCAGAACACCCCCAGGAATTAGAGAGAAAGGCAGCCTTAGAATTAATAAGTGGGCATTTTAAATGGTCTGTGCCCCTTGCTTTCTATCCCCATCTGGTCTCAGCGAGAGGACAGAGACAACCGGTGACAGCAATCAGGACAGAGTTGGATTCAGGCTTGGATGTCAATCCACAAATACTGGCTAAGATAATTTTCTGGACCATGAGACCATTATTCTTCACACACAGAGCAAGTTCTTACTAAAATATTTTGTGGATATCACATTTCAATTCTGCTCATCATACTATGAAACAAAATAAATGGAACCAAATGTTCTTTCCCCAAGCATTTCCCAGAAAGAAGCTTCTTGCTACTTCAACTGGAATGTAATGAAAACTTTCTAACTTTGTATCTTTAAGACAATTAAAAAACAAGGCACCTTAAAAATCCCATATGGTCTTTTCACTATTTGTTTTATATTTTTAGCTGCTTTCTTAGGCCCTAACTTTACCTATATATATATTTATAATTTTTGAAATTAATAGATTTCAAATGTTAGATTTACAGAAAAAAATGAGCAGAAAGTAAAGAGAAATTCTACATACATCCTTCTCCCCACCCCCCGTCTGCTACAACTGACAAACCAATATTTATATTAACTAAAGTTCATATTTTACGTTAGGCTTTCCTTTTTGTTCTGTACATCCTATGAGTTTCAACAAATATCTAATGTTCTGTGTCCATGGACATGTACAGAAATGTGAAAATCAACTCTAAATGAAGCAAAATGTATTTTTACAGCAAAAACAAGTGTTCTTCCAAAAATCCTTATGGGTGCACATGCACCCTCTTCCCTTACCTGTTTTGTAAGTCAAAGCGTGGCTGGCAGTTCAGGGGGCTGTGTTTAAAGACCCAGAGACAGGAAATGTTCCCCGGGGCCGTGAGCAGCACCTGCAGGGAGATGGACGCAGACTCGTCCACGCGGACCGCGGCCGCTCGGTAGACCCCGCCGGCGCCCTCGGGCCCCGCCGCGCAGCCCAGGTCTTCTGGGGATTCTGACGCCTGTGTCACGGACCAAACAACGTGAACTTTACAAGTGCGCACTTAATACGGCATCTCAGCTGGAAGCTTTACCAAATACATACATGTTGACATACTGCACCTGTTGAGAACTTATCGCTGACTGAAAATCCCAATAATTATACTTCTTTAAGAAAAAAAAAGCCCGGCCGTGTGGCTCAGTGGTTGAGCATCGACCCATGCACCAGGAGGTCTCCAGTTCGACCCAGGTTGTGGGCCTGATCCCCAGGCGGCCAATTGATGCTCTCTCTCATCGATGTTTCTCTCTCTCTCTCTCTCCCTCTCCCTTCCTCTCTAAAAATCAATTTTTTAAAAAAGGTAGATAACTTTAGACTGCATTTCCAAAATGTTTTACAGGCTGTTATGGGCTGAACTGTGTCCCCCACCCAAATTCATATGTTGAAGTCCTAACCCCCAGTACCTCCGAAGGTGACCTTATTTTGTGTACAAGTCTTTACAGAGGTACTCTAGTTAAAATGAGGCCATTAGGGAGGTCTCTGACCCAATATGACTTGTGTATGAAAAGGAATTTGGAGAAGACACACGTACAGGGAGAATGCCATGTTAACATGGACATGGTCACCTACGAGCCAGGGAGAGGCCTGGGACAGCTCCTTGCCTCGCAGCCTCAGAAAGAACCAGCCCTGCTGAGATTTTAGAGTCTAGCCTCCAGAACTGTGAAACAATGGATTTCTGTTGTTGACATCACCCAGTCTGTGCTACTTAGCTTCGACAGCTCTAGCAAATTAATATACAGATAATAATCCCCAAATCTGTAATATATAGGTAAATGTTTTTGTGGTTATTAGTAATAGTAAATGGGTATCTGTGTTTAGAGGGGATTTTCTTTTTAATCCTCACCTGAGGATATTTTTTCCGTTTATTTTATTTTATTTTTAGATAGAGTGGGATGGAGGGAGAGAGAGAGAGAGAGAGAGAGAGATCTGAGAGAGACACATCGATTGGCATGACCCAGACTGTGGCCGGGGATCAAACTTACAACCCAGGTATGTGCCCTTAACCAAGAATCGAACCTGCAATCCTTTAGTCTGTGGGCTGACACTCTAACCTCTGAGCCAAACCGGCCAGGGCTGTTAGAGGGAATTTAAAAACCAAAATATTGCCCCGGTCTGTTTGGCTCAGCAGTTAGAGCATTGGTTCTCGGACCAATTAATCATGGGTTTGATTCTGGTCAAGGGTGTGCCTTGGTTGTGGTTTGTCCCGGCCCTGGTTGGGTCATGCAGGAGGCAACCAATCGATGTGTCTCTCTCATGTCGGTTTCTCTCTCTCCTTCTCTCCCCCTTCCCCCATTCTATCTGATGAGAAATAGAAAAAATATCCTCAGGTGAGGATTAAAAAAAATATTTTAAAAATAAAAACCAAAATATTTTCTGGGAAGATATTTCCCACAGGCTCCTTGCCACCCTCACACTCTTTGCCTGCTTCAAAATTGAGATATATTGAGAAGAGGGTGTGGTAGCAAATTCTGCTGCTGGAACCCTCACCTCCTACCCTCTAACATGTAGTGTAGTTAATGCACACACATGTGCACATGCACGCGTGCACACATGCCCACACACACACACACACGCTTCTTTAGGTGAAGATCTGAGTATCTCTTCTGCTACTCATCATAAGTCATATTTCTGATTTTACTTGTTCACTTATACAGTTAGTATCAGGTAAGTTCATTTAATCAATATCTGCAAAGTACTCAACCATCTGCTGGCTACTATGACACCAGAAAGAAAAGACACTCATCTTGTTCTGAAAGAGTTTTGAATCTAGTAATAAGAAGTAAGTAAAACTGAAACAGAATGTGACCCATAAAAATGTGTCAACTACTTTGACAGGTAAATTTAAGTGCTCTGGAAACTCAGAGGAGAGACAGGCAATTTCCAAGCTGGGTGGTGGGCATGTCTCATTGAAGTCCAGCAATGGAGCAGGATCTTAAAAGGTGGGCAGAGAATTGCCCTGGCCAGTTTGGCTCAGCAGTTAGAGCATCGACCTGCGGACCAAAGAGTCCCGGGTTCGGTTCCCGCTAAGGGCACATATCTCGGTTGTGGTTCGTCCCCGACCCCAAGGTCATGAGGGTGGCAACCAGTAGATGTGTCTCTCACATCGATGTTTCTCTCTCTCTCTTCCTCCCTCTTTTCTTCCCATTCTATCTAAAGATAAATGCAAAAATGTCCTTGGGTGAGGATAAAAAAAAAAGATGGGTACAGAATCAAGTTTTATTTTTTATTTAAAAATTTTTTTTTCTTTATTAACTATTAGAGAGAGAGGAAGGGAGAGGGAGAGAGAGATAGAAACATCAATGAGAGAGAACATTGATTGGCCACCTCCAGCATGTCCCCCACTAAGAATCAGGCCCACAACCTGGGCATGTGCCCTGACCAGGAATCAAACTGGTGACCTCTTGGTGCGTGGGTCCGATGCTCAACCACTGAGCCACATGGGCTGGGCTAGAATAAAGTTTTTAAAAACCTGACATACTTGAAAATATTTGCAATACATATTACAAATAAAGGACTAATACCCCTAATGTATAAGTTTTAAAAATTGAGGGACACAGTAGAATAATGGGGAAATGAAACAAATAGACAGTTCATACACAAAAATACATACATATATATATATATATATATATATATATATATATATAGTGGCCCTTGAACATAAAAGAAAATGTTCAACCTTGCTTATAACTAGAGAAGCCTAAATTAAAACAACACTGAAATGTCACTTCTCTTCTATCAGACGGGCACAAATTTTAGAGTATGGTAACACATTTTGTTGGTGAGGCTCTGAGGAAAGAGCTACTTTTTTTTTTTTTTTTCCAGATGAACCAAGCATTTTACTTGATTACAATAAGGAAGCGCTCACCTATTCTCTACTTAAAAAACAACGCTCAGGCCTATACTGGAAACACTGCCTCCATGGTGTCCAGAACATCATTTGCACCCAATCCTGGAGCTGCCGAGCTCTGAAGTCATATCTGTCCTGTGCACTGCAGGAAGCTAAAGGAGACTCCACCCACGTCACTGCATTTCTTGATCCCTTAAGTTTTCCATCATCACCCATCAGGACAATGAGTCCAACTTCGCAGATAAACATTTGAAAAACCGACCTTTGCGCAACAACCCAGTACCCTCCTGGGTTTTAAGAGTGAAGAATGTTACTTGTGCAAGTCGGAATCTGATACTAATTAAATGGTGACAGATTTGCCAATAAATAAGAAAATGCTCGCCCTGGTCGGTTTGGCTCAGTGGTTAGAGCGTCGGCCTGCGGTCCAGAGAGACCCGGGTTCGGTTCCCGCTAAGGGCACGTACCTCGGTTGCAGTTTGTCCCCGGCCCTGTTCGGTCGTGCGGGTGGCAGCCACTCGATGTGTTCCTTTCACGTCGATGTTTCTCTCTCTCTGTTCCTCTCTCTCCCTCCCACTCTACCTGAGCAAAAAATGGAAAAATGTCCTCGGGTGAGGATAAAAAAAAAAAAAAAAAAAGAAAATGCTCTTCCATGGCTAGGAAGGAAGACTGCCACAGCCGGCAGGTCCCAAAGACACATGGAGGGAAAGAGCTACTTTCATACATTACTGGAGGAATGCAAACTGGTACAACCCTTCTCAATCTCAAGGGGAATTTGGCAATACCTACTAAAACTACATGTGTACTCACTGAACTAGCAACCCCACTTCTAGGAATATACCTCCAACAATTAACTACAGTATCATCTGTAATTGGAAACAACCTAAATACTCATACATAGAACAGTAAAATAAACTATGGTATATCCATATAACAAAGTACTATGCAGCTGTAAAGAAGAAAAAGAAAAGTCTCTGTGCACTGACTTAAAGTGATTTCCTGGATATACTGTTAGGTGAAGAAAACTACGTGCAAAAAATATCTACCTTCACCTGACCAGTGTGGCTCAGTGGTTGAATGTCAGACCCATGCACCAAGAGGTCACCAGTTTGATTCCCAGTCAGGGCACATGCCCAGGTTGTGGGCCAAATCCCCAGTGGGAGGACATGCTGGAAGCAGCCAATCGATGTTCTCTCTCATTGATGTTTCTCTCTCTCTCTTTCTCCCTTTCTCTCTCTCTAAATGAGAAAAAAGTATCTACCTTCAAGTATTTATGCTACACTTCATATAAAAAAGAAGGTAATATAAGAAAATACATATGTATCTGTTCATTTGTGCACAAGAAATACAGAAATAGTATTGAAAAGCTAAAGTACAGGAGGTAAGTAGAAAAAGAATAGAGACTTGATGATAGAGATGAGGAGAAAGTGATACCTCTTTGAGTATACCTTTTGAAAAAACTTTTTATTGATTGATTATAGAGAAAGAAAGAGAGAGAGAGAAACATCAATTTGTTGTTCAATTTATTTATGCATTCATCGGTTGTTTCTTGTATGTGCCCTGACCAGGGATCAAACCTGAAACGTTGTTGTATCAGGATGACAGTCTAACCAATTGAGCTACCCTGCCAGGGCTAAGTATACCTCTTTATATTGCTTTGGTTTTTAGGACCATACTCATGTTTCATATACTCAAAAATAAATAATTAAAACCAACTGGGATATGGGACACTAAAATGGAACACAAGCCAAATGAACTTAATGTCTAACAAATAAATAACATAACCATAGTGAAGGGGTGGAAAAGTAAGAACTTTGAGAAATAATACTTTGGATACAATAAGGTTAAAGACAAAAATAATGATAACACAAATACAGTACTCTACTTAGTTCACTTCTTTCTCACTGGGGTGTGGGTTAACAATTCTGAACTACTTAATGCATTTACGAGGATTGACTGCGTCAGTAAATCATTATAGATAATGACAGCCAAGTTTCCTGCTGTCAGAGAGAGAAATACTAGTAAAGAAAGACAAAAAGCTAGAATGAATCCTTTGGTGTCGAATTAAAATCAGAGTTGTCATCTTGAACTTAGGGTGGTAGACCGATGACAGACAGATAGATGTACGACGTAAAGATGATAGAGAGCAACACAGTGCGTGGTGGGTTAGTACACATGCATACACTTCCTAGCTCTGCCTGCCGAGAGGGCCTACAGGCAATGGCATCCCAGTAGCAATGAGCATACCCAGCTCTCAGATCTTGGTTTCTAAATCACGTTCTCCAAGAAGTCAGTGTTCTTTGGAATAGGGATTAGTTCCAGGGCTGAGGCAAGAAAAACACAAGATGAGCCTGAACTATGTTGTTGTGCCCAAAAGTAAGTGCTTGAAAAAAGATGGGGACCTGTTGAAGGGACACAGGAGTCAACCTGAAGTAGCTCCCAATGGCCAATGCTGGAACCATTTGTACAACAAAATAAAAATGATAGTTTGGGGTTAGAACCCACAGAATAAAATAAATATCTGTGAGTCTATACTAATATATATATAAATAATTGAATAAATAAATAAAATAGCCCTGGCTGGTTTGGCTCAGTGGTTAGAGCAATGGCCCTTGGACCAAAGGGTCTCGGGTTCGATTCCCCAGGCAAGTGCACATGCCTGGGTTGCGAGTTCGTCCCCGGCCCTGGTTGGGGTTGCGTGGGAGGCACTCAATCAATGTGTCTCTCTCACACCAATGTTTCTCCCTCTCTCTCCCTCCCTCCCTTCCACTCTATCTAAAAAAATCAACAGAAAAATATACTCGGGTGAGAATTAATAATAAATAAATAAATAAAACAGAGAGAAGGGATAGCTCTTCCTCACAGAAGAATGCCAATGAATACATGTAGAGGGAATGAGGGAAAAGGAAAAATCACCATCAGGCAAACATCACATTAATAATTGTAGACCAAGTCCACTAATGGAAGCTAAAATCAGCAGGTGATAGAGGACAGAAAGAATATTTGCATCTCCTCCAAAATATTTGTTAATTACTAAGGAAAAGTAATAAGTTTGCAGTGGAGAAACCTAGCACACAGCAACTTAATCTTCAAACAGAAATGAAAAATGATGGATATATTAAGATTTTAAACAACAGTTAAGTGGATTGCAGGAATAGTAAAATCATCTTATTTGGGGTCCAGGATATACTGGTAATATAGTGAAGGTAGAAGCTTATTTATTTATTTATTTATTTAGTTATTTTGGTACATACCCCTAATGGGAGCTGAACCCGGGACTCTCTGGTCCGCAGGCCATCGCTCCAACCGCTGAGCCAAACCAGCCAGGGTGAAGCTTATTTATTAGGGCTTCATGGATACGTTGTATCTACTAAAGAGTGCTTGGTTATTCAAAATACCCCTGGACTATAAAATTTCCAGAAAGATATCTCATCTGAGAACTGTGAACTGTGGAAGAAATGAAAATCTTGTTCTTTTTCAAAACCTTTTTTTAAAAAAGCCACAGACATCCTAACAATCCACTTCCACTGAAGTGGGAAAAGGCAGCTTCAAGGAGATGAGCGTGCTCACCTTTGCCACAGTTAGAATTCCTACAGTTGTTTATTTCATGCTATTTAAGAACTGCTGGGTCTTAACATAATCCTGAATATGGATTAAGAATATAATTTATACTTCATGAAAAAATAATGCAGGACTTAATACTAGAAACCAAGACTAATCATCAATTTTTAAAAAAAATTTTTTTTTCTTTATTGATATTAGAGAGAGAGAGAGAAAGGGAGAGGGAGAGAGAGGTAGAAACATCAGTGAGAGAGAACATCGATTGGCTACCTCCTGCATGCCCCCCACTGGGGATGGGGCCCACAACCTGGGCATGTGCCCTGACCAGGAATTGAACCAGCTACCTCTTGGTGCATGGGTCGATGCTCAACCACTGAACCATACCAGCTGGGCTAATCATCAATTTTTTTATGATTGTGTTTTATAAGAAAATAATTAAATGTATGCAATTATTTTCTTATGTTGAAAAGACACTAAGCCCTGGCTGGGTAGCTTAGCTGGTTAGAGCATTGTCCCAATATGCCAAGGTTTCAGGTTCAATCCCTGGTCAGGGCATAGAGAAGAATCAATCAATGAATGCATAAATAAGTGGAACTACAAATCAACGTTTCTCTCTCTCTCTCTCTCAAATCAATGTAAAAAATGAAAAAAAAAATACACTAAAAGTTTCAAACATTATAGAAATAGTATTCATTTCTTTTGTCTGCACTGAAATACTATGTATGCAAATACTATTAATAAGTCAATGTGCTGTAACACCATAATGATTAACAAATTCAAACCAACCATGCTTATGGTATAAAAAAATTCATGCATTTGCCCTGGCCAGTTTGGCTCAGGGGTTAGAGTGTTGGCCCACGGACTAAAGAGTTGCGGGTTCAATTCCAGTCAAGGGCACGTACCTCGGTTTCGGGAGGCAACCAGCCAATGTGTCTCTCTCACACTGATGTTCCCCCCACCTCCACTCTATCTGAAAATAAATGGAAAAATATCTTCAGGTGAGGATTAAAAAAAAAAATCATGAATTAAATTGGTATTTTCATTCATGTAGAATGTTGTTGATTTTAAGATTTGAGACTATTTCTAATATTTCTGATTTAGGGGGGTCACTTAGGATATCATGTCATGTGTTTATGTGTTATATCAATGCAAAAGAAAATAGTGGCTATATATCTGTATCCATCCCTAACTGAAAATGTCCATGGAATTGGCTAATTTAGGTTTGCTTTTCAATGTACATAGACTTCTAACATTCTCAGCTCTCTATCATTTAAGCTTCTTTTATTTACATAAATACCTAGGTTATGTTAGATGGATAGCGAGAAGGGGAAGAGTAATGAAAATCAAGGTTGGAACCTGAAGGAGCCAGAGCCAGATTATGGAGCAATTTGCATGTCAGGTCACAGAAGGTCTCAAGGCAGGCAGCCAGGTTGGAGCTGGGCTTCAGGGAGAATGGTCTGATAGCCCACCTGAGATGAGCTGCAGAAGGAAGAAGCCACAGAGGATATTATTGTGATTATGACAGAGTTAATGAGGGCTTGAATCAGGGAAATGACAGTGAGACTAGAGAATCGAAGGTGATTATATGAGAATTAGTAAAGAAAGGAAACTGATGAGACTTGGTAACTCAGTGAATGTAAAGGCAGAGGAGGGTAAGTTCTCCCAAATGATGCTGACCTTTCAAGCCTGGGGACAAGAGAAAGCCATAAACAGCAATCAGTCAATACAAGAATGGGAGCAGGTTTGAGGAAATAGAAGTGGAAAGAATTATGGAGACGAATGTTAACGAGAAAATGGAAATTTTCTCCATCTATATCCAGAGGTAGCTAGAAAGTGGGGACTCAGGCTTGAGACAGAAGTCTGGATTCTCTTTAAGGAGAAAGGGAAATTCCTGCTACTTGTTCATGCTGAGGATCAGTGTCCTTCCTGAAACCAAGCCCAAAGAGAGCATGGCTCTTGAGGGAATGGAGTGCCAGGTAGCAATACGTATAGACGCTTATATGCACCAGATATGAATACACAATATACTTAAATCCATAAAAAGGAAGATCCATATAACCATGGTAGGTTTCAATAGTTTCCAGAGAAAAAAGCTAAACTTATACTATTAATATTACTTTACCGTGGGATACGATGAAGATAT